ATTCTCGAGTTTAAAGTTTTTACGGTTGACTAAATTTAATGTATGCATTAATAATGGTAAGGATAAAAAGAATTATGATGAAAGTTATTAATTGACAAGTCATAACGTAAAGCCATAAGAATTAATATAAAACATTATAAAGGCGAAACAAGCATTTTAAAAATATTGACGTAAATATATGAGATTTAACATAACAAGTCAATTATGTCTCATAAATATTATTTTTGAAGAAATTAAACATTTAAATTATTATTCTCGAGTTTAATGTGTTTTATGACTTACACATTTTAATTTATGTCTGAATAATAGTAAAGATAAAAAGAGTTATGATGAAAATTAGTATTTAAAAAGCCTTAACGTATAACAATAAGAATTAATATAAAACATTATAAAGGTGGAATAAGCATTTTCAAAATATTGACATAAATATGTGAGATTTAACGTTACAAGTCAATTATGCCTAATAAACATAATTTTTTTAAAAAATTAAACATTTAAATTGTTATTTCGGGTTTAAAGTATTTTATGGTTTATAAATTTTAATATATGCATGAATAATAACAAAAATAAAAATTAATAGTGGAAAAACCTTGACGTAAAGCGGTAAGAATTAACGTAAAATATTATAAAAGTTGAACAAGTATTATAAAAATATTGATGTAAATGTGTGAGATTTAACTTAACAAATTAATTATATCAAATAAACATGAATTTTGAAGAAATTAAATATTTTAATTGTTATTCTCGAGTTTAAAATGTTTTACGGTTTACAAATTTTAATAAATGCTTGAATAATAGCAAGGATAAAAAGATTATAATGAAAATTAGTAGTTTAAAAACTTTAATGTAAAGTCGTAAGAATTAATGTAAAAAATTATAAAAGTGAAATAAATGTTAAAAAATATTAACGTATATGTGTGAAATTTAACGTAACAAAATAATTAAGTCAAAATAAATTTATTTTTTGTAAAAATTAAATATTTAATTTTTTATTATTGAGTTAAACATATTTAACAGTGTATAAATTTTAATTTATAAATGAGTAATTACAAAAATAAAAATAATTATAGTTAAAATATTAATTTATTAAACTAAATTTTTATTATAATATTTATTTAAAAATTTCTCAATATTTAATTTTTTTACTCAAGAATATAATTATAAGTGATTAATTTTCATAAAAATTCTGTTATCTCTTTGTTAGTCTTTTCACTTTAATTAATATTTCTTGGTTAATTATTTCCTTTTAAATATCATTTTTATTTTTATTTATTTTGGGTTATTTAAGTTTTTATTTAACCTGTTTGTCTGTTTAGTTGCAAGTTTTGTTGTTGATCAATGGCTGAAAATGAACCATTTAAATCGAATGACTCTTCTTCGTAGCCTTGCATATTATCTTTGCTGTACTAGGACCACTAGGATACCAAGCTACCTGTCACTATGTCTGGCATGCTGGAAATTCGGTTTCAATCAAACATTCCTCAGGTTCATTATGTATCAGGCCAGAATGTTATGTCGGCGGGACTGCTCCATTTCTGTCACCTTGGGAACAAATGTCAGACGAAGCCCAGAATGCCTGTCCAGAAGTTTGCTTCACTAGTTTATTCCCAAACGCAAAGTGTTAAATCAGTATCAAAACTTTTTACTTGGTTGTTCCTGGAAACCCAACATTTAAATATAGTCGTAACCATTAAAGTCAAGCAATTGGCATTTAAATCTGCAATTTTGGTTTCTACAACTCGCTATTACTAATTGATTGTCGTCCTGCCAACATGTTGGTTGTCAAAATATGTCTTAGATCCTCTAACAAAAGCATGAAGGAAATAGCAAAACAGCTCCTTCATCAAACTTAAAGAGTGGCATTTCAAGCACTATCCTAACACTCCAGCTAGCCTCTTTGGAAGTACTCAACTCAAGAGGAGTTTTTACAAGATAAATACAAGTATAGCCTACCTCCAACTCCAACCAACTTCAGCTTCTCGGCATGATTGCAAATAATTCCAATGGAAGTGTTTCCTTTTGTAAATAAGTTAGGGGGGAAAATAAAATACAACCTCTTCTGGGCTATGTATGTGTAACCACACCACCAAACAACAGCGAAAGCTCCTCTCGCTTTTGCTCTGTCACTGCCAACTCCAATGTTACCTGTTAATCATGCAGACGGAAACCAAAGGTCTCAGAAACATTAAACAAGGAACATATAAACCACCCAATATTGACATAAGCCTATCCTACAATCTTGGTTGGTCAAGAAACATAAGGCTAATATTTAGGGAACATATTTGTGATTCAGCCAGTGAGAGCACATTAGATTCATGTTGAACATCAACTATGAGATGAAAAGAATAAGTATCATCCAACTACTTTAGAAAATTTTTTTAACAAGAATTTTCTTTAGGTTCTTTGATCTCCGATTAATTGTACCTTAAGCCAGGGCCTCGTGATGAAAACTAGAGGGTAAAGTCATCAAATTAGGTTGATCTGGAAACTTCTAATTCATATATCTAAAGATTACGTGAATATTGTTCACTTATTCAAAATTAAAAGCAAATAACAATTTCAGGTAAACTGTACATATGTGCCACTCTACTCTATTTGGGACCATATTCTTAGTAAGCTCAGTAAAATTAAGATTTTAATTTGATTTCATTTAAAGCCGTAAACTAATTTTAGTTACTAAGATGGCCTACATATGCAAAGGGGAGTGGGGAAACAATCAAGATCACAGCAACTCCTATAGCCTCAAAAACCAACAGACAGGTTTGCCCAATCACTTTTGATGACATAAGGAATATCTCACCTCCTTGAAGATTTCGCTATGAGAAGCCTCCTCAAAGCCCTACACCAACCATAAAGGCATTTATCAACCAGGAAGAACACATACACACATATTGCATATGAGTCTCTTAACGCCCATGCAATAGGTTGGATATTAATCCTTAAAAATGCCTTGCATGAATGTGTAAAACCAAGAAACATGCTTTTTAAGGCATCTATATCTATATCTACATATATATATATATATATATAGAGAGAGAGAGAGAGAGAGACCAATTTCCGAAACATGCTAAGAGATGACCCATTTGATTCTCCAATTTTAGCACGGAAGACATGGATTCCAAAGTTCTGAACTGCATAAGCCATCATCATCAAGACAGATTCTTTCCCAAGGCCCTTACCGCGGCTATTCTAGCATGAGCAAAACAATAAGAGATGTGATTGAAAGGGAATGTTTAAAAAAGAATTTAAACCAAGTATAAAATTTTGAAACTCCCTTTTGTGTCCTAGATGATTTATAGCACATCAACTACAAGGTCATAAGGATCAAAAAAATATTTTCAAAAATGTCACTCTGGAATTTGTATTTATGAACTCAACTTGAACTAAAGAAGCCTTTGTATTCCAAAAAATTTCAACCTACCCTTTCAAGCATTTCCACCTTTAGATTTACATTTTCTTTGTTAATTTTTCCCGTTGAAATGTTTTCAATTGATATTCATCAATCACAAAATCCTTACCTTAGTTGTGTTTATTTTCTACATGCCCCTAAGATAAGGGACTTGGGGCCATTGACAAATATCAAAAGGACCAAGCCTACATTAGGAAAATCTACTAGAACAACCCGGATTGGTCAAATATTTATATGGTATGATATGTTCAAACGACTTCAAAATCAGAAATACACAAGGGAACCACGAAGGACACATGTAAGGAATGAAAATCCAAATTGCCAGTTAATTTTTTGTCTGTGACACATGTAAACATTCTGAAGTGTTATACCTGCTGATTTGTCAGAATAAACATTTCAGTTTATTCTTTTCTCCTCCCAAGAGTTGTATTATCTAATCAGTCCTGTTTCTAAGCAAACAATACCAACATAAGAAAACAATCGTTGCACAGACACACACTCAAAATCCCCCAAAAAAAAAAGGACAAAAAAAATGGTAATTCCATTAGGTAACAGAGGAGCAGACCAGCAGGGAAAGGTATATTTATTCTAACACTTGATTGAGAAAGACACCAGAAATGAAGAAGATAATTACACTATGCATCCCCCCACTTCCATCCCCACAGTCATCATAACAAGCTCTACATGCTGATGTCCACTAATTATGTTAACAATACTTCATTTCGACAGCAGTCTTGCTCATAAATGATTCATCCATATGAAGACAATAAAGAAAAGACGAAAAAGGCAGCGAAAAATCAATAAAGTTTTAAAAGAGAAATGAAATAAGTAAAAAAAGTTTCATGTTGATGAATCTGATGGGCACAAAATATGGGGCAAGGCAAGAACTTTCACTTTACAAATAGATTTGTTTATTGTAGAGAAGTAAAAAGAAAGCACCTTTTTGGTTCAGCTATCATAATTTCAATCTCTGCCAGTTGGGGGTCATCCAAATCATTCATGTAGATATTCACGTCTCCAACCATGGCTGGATCATCATTTACCATCAGTCCATCATAAATCATAATTAATAAACATAACAAAAAAAAAAGTGAAAACACTACTTAAAACATCTTGACAAATTAAATTCTCGAATCAAGGTTGAAATTTAAAATCTTTGAAGTAAATAAAAAGGCTGTCAATTTAGCTGACCTTCCACATGGGGATCCCCATGAACAAACTTTCCCTCAACCATCTCCTTATCCAAAACAATGAACGTTTTCTCTGTTGAAAAACAACAATCTTGAAAACCTTAATTACAAACTCAAAAGGCAAAAACAAAACTAACCCAATTGAGAAATTATGACAAAAAATGAAATAAAAAAAAAGAAAAGAGTTTTGTATAAAGAGAGAAAACAACTGAGAGGGTCTTGGTTCCAAGAGAGCTGCATATCGTATTCCTCTTGGAGGGAGAGGTGCTCTGATCCGGTGGCTTGAAGGAGAGCAGGGTCCTGCATCCAGACGTGGTACTTTGGGACATGCGCTTCCATGTATGGTACCATTATCACCTTTTGTCCTTCCAAGCTCATGCCCATCACTTTGGCTTCTGTGTTCCCAAAACTCGCCTTGGATCGAACTGAGTTTGACCAGGCAGCCAGGCCAACAGTTGTGTTTAGGTTAGGCTGCTTGGATCTGAGCGAAGGGTCAGTGCACGACGCTGCCGTTTTAGGTTTTAACTCAAATTTTGTCCACTAGTTGTCGAATGGTTTTACTGGCGTTGGAAAGTAATGCTACTGGCTAAAATGGTAATGAAAGGAGAAGGATGCTCTGAAAAAAGAAATAATAAAAACATTAATCAAACAAATCTAAGTTTTTTTTTTTTATTGAAGCATGAAGTACTTAGGTTTAGGGTTTATAAAATATATACTGATTAAGAATATGCAACCAATTTCTTATGCTTCTGTAGTTTATATATGGAATAATACTTGCAAAAAGTTTTAAATTATTTTAAAAATTTTAAATAAATTATTATTTGTTATTATATGTAATTAAATTTATATATTTTTATTTTATTTAAATAAGTTTTTATGATGTAATATTTATATAAAAATAAAAAAATTATATAATTTTATCATCATAATATATTATTATTTATTATAACATGTCAGTATATCACATTAATATCAAATGAATGATAAGTGGTATTTTGATTAATAATAGTTGATTATAAAATCTTATATAACTCAAAAGAAAAATATAAAAATTTGATTGATGGTAATATAAAAATAAAAATTTATTTAAATTTTTATAAATAACTTAAGAATTTTTTTAGATATTATGATTTTATATATTATATGTGACATCAGTGCTTATATTTGTTAAGGAGGCCCAGTAAAATGAAAAACTGAGAAAATCCGTCATTTCATCACAAAAATTGTGTCATGCTTGTGCAGTGAAAGTTTTCTCTTGGCCCAACAAAAAAAAAATCTAGAGTGAGAATATTACACCATTGTTGTATATCAATTTTGCGAGGCGTGGGGTCACAATAGTCAACGAAGGGTGAGGGATCTTTATTGGCGTGGGTGCAGGAAAGAGGGACCAGAAAAGAGAAATGACCAATGGATTGAAGAAGATGTGGAAACCTTGCTGAGAAGGCAAAGCTTTCTGTAATTCAATTTGTTAGTGTTCAGCACAATTGCATTTGTTTTAGTGGTAAAATGAGGTGCCCTTTGATGATTGTTGCTTGCTTCCACGTTAATCTGTGTAGGCCATATCCACTGACGCTGCAATTGAACCTCTTGCAGTGAGGGACTGTCACTAAACAAACATGGTTTTAGAGTTTTAGTAGTAACTAAGATATCGCCATCTGCAATGATGGAAAGAACTGCTAAAAGGCTCTTATCACTTCAGTCCAAAGAATCTCACGTTTTTATAGCTTAGCTTCAAAGCCAAGCAGACCACAATCCTGATTTTCAACCACAAACTCTTCCACTTTGACGATTAAAGGTATAATAAACGATTATCTTCAAATTCTCATTCAGTACAAGCCCCTAACAGAAACCATTTCTATCAATTGAGAAATGAAAAGATTGACTCAAGAATATTAATTTTTCAGGAAAAGAACAAAAGGGTTTTTGATGGAATAAACGATGAGGAAGACTGCATGGGATATTCTTTAAATCAGGCAAAACAGCTTTAAAACAATCACATCCTTAATCTCTTTTGAGACATCCACCAAACCCAAAATTTAATGTAGTCTTAACTTCAAAGCTAAGCACTTTCACAACGTCCTCATAATTTGTTCAATAGCCATCATGACAGACCGCTTTCACTGCCCAACAAAACCTTCAGTACCAATCTCATAAATGTTAAAGAAAAGCAGGGCTTCGTTCATTCATCTGCCCTCC